GCCAGTGATCTATTGGCTCTCACTGTACAACACCTCTTAAATGAACTGGTGAGCTAGTTAACACTTAGCTTAACTACTAGTCTGGACTCTTAACTAACCTTCAAGGACTGCATTATGTGCGCTGCTTGGACACTTGGAATAGGTTGTTTATGGCCTTTTTCCCCCATGGTTCATTCAGATGCTAACGTGTAGAAAAACATGTGCGTCCATGTAGCATGCCTGCCAACCTCTCGGACTGTGTCGACATGTGCACACGTGTTGTGTGTGTGTGGTCTGCTTTAACATGGGAGTTTCATCTGTAGATGTATCAATAATTCACTCCTCACTCTCGGTCCTCCTGAGCCCCTGCATTCCCTCCTATTAAAAATGCATCCATTTCCCAGTCCCTTTTCTCTGTACCTTCCCAGTTAGCAGCAGCCCTCACTGCTCCATACCTGGGTGGGTTGTGTTCACTAAAAACAAATGTGAGAGAACATTTTGAAATTGATATTGGCATACTTGCTGGGAAAGTTCAGATAGCTCTTCTGTTTCTGTGCCTACTGACCACGATCCACGTCTCTTTCCTCACCCTCTTCCCTCACACCGTTATGTCCCCAGCCAGGGACATCTTTATTTAATTTTTCTTTCTATCAATTTCCTCCTTTCTTCACGTACCTTACCTAACAAACATTTGGGTCAACAGTGGGCACATGAGTGGGTAAACTTGAAAGGGTGAGTTTGTGTATATGAATGAGCGTGTGTGTATTGTTCACTAGTCAGGCTGTCAACCCTTATTAGGCATTGCTGGGAGTAGGAAGTGGGCTGTGGCTACAGAGCTATGTCACAGGAAGTGGGAGATTGTGTCACGGGCTGGATAGATGGAGGGAGAGAGGCGACGTGGGAGAAGAGATGGATTAGGAGAGGATGGAAAAGGAGAGAAATTAGACATGCTTTCTGACAGTCTGCTCCCTCTCGCTCTCCCTGGTTCTCTTTTGCTCTCTCTCTCTCTCTGAGGGTCTTCACACTTACTACACTTTTCACAAAAATGCAGTCGGCTACACATATACTGCAATGTAAACTTGCGAACTTGTTGGGAAAGAGTAAGCAAGAAAGGCATTTCACTGTACTAGTGCACGTGACAATAACTTGAAGCTAGCTAGCAGGAGTTGGCTGTGTATTGTCAGCTAATTTAATGTGTAGGGACAAGAAAATAAACCCTTTTTATTTGTCTGCACATGGTTGTGGATTGTTGCATTACTCAAGAGTGGAATATGGTTTTGTTGCATTATTCAGTATTGTAATGTGTTTTAGAAGAAAAGTTGCTCAGATTGTTAAATAGTTTGTGCTTACTGGCTAGTGGCTACTGTGATATTTACGGTCAATTTGAGCTGCGGACCAAGAATGTTGTGTTGCCAGCCGCAATGAAAGGTAAGGCAAAGATGTAATGTGAATTGAAAAGTAGAAATCTATTTCTCCACTCCGCTCCTCAGACTCATCTCTCATAGTGGGAATGGAGCCTCTCTCACTCACTCACTCACTCAGCCTTGTCTGGTGGTCAGGGACTTCCCCTGTATGTGTGACTAGGGGAGTGTGTGAGCCTTGATATGAGCCAGAGCATCAGGGAGGCCCTCACAATCTGTGTCTGTCAGTGTCACCCTGCCAACACCATGTCACCATGCCTGGCTCTAGTCAGTGACACCTGTATGTCAGTGCCACTGCATATAAGCCTACTTGCACAACACTGCAGTCCTCTCCTATAGACCGGTTTGTATTTCCTGTAGTCTCTAAAGTTGGTTTAATTTCTCTTATAGACCAGGGGCTACGAAAGTGCCCAGGTTTGTATTAGCTGGTACATTTTCCTAAGAACAGGTTGCATTTCTAGTGTTATTTTGCTGTCTGTGGGACTTAATGCAAAGCTGCCCCAGGAGCCTGCATGGCAGTCAGCTATCTGTAGGGGCTCTCCCTGTGGGTGGGTGGGAGGAGATGTTGATGTAGTGCAGGTGGAAGGTTCCAGATCCTCCTCTGTCGGAACACGGCAAAGCTTCCGGTCTTTGTCAGCCTCTTGTTATTCCCAAACAATCTTATTTTGGATCAAACCAATCTCTCCTCTCGTCATAAAATTTGCCGTTTAATGGGTCGTTCCATGAAAAGAGTGCCTTTTGCGTCCCTTTTGATATTTTAAGTAGAAATTGTGGACCAATATTGAATTTTAAAAGCCTGTTATATTGAATGAAGTGCATTTTAACATAGACCACATGGAGAATTCAATAAATATGATTTTAAATATGAATAAAGACTTGCTAAAGTGTATCATCTGTGACTTCTTCTTTTTTTAAGCCCTAGTTATTTTGTTGCTTTGACAAAGTAATTTCTGATGATTATTATTTATTTAATGTGATTAGTGATTCATTTACGTCTGTCCCTCATTTTAAGGTCAACCATGTTATGTGAACTGAACTCTTGTTTTAATATGGTGAAAGGATTCCTTAAAAACAAATCGTAGTGTAAAAGCAGGTGAGCTGGTTCTATTCTTTTTGGCTGTTTTGTGGTGGAAAACTGAGCTGGTCGAGTATTACACGTCAACCCTGTTACCCATAGAGGAGGCTAGAATTTTTAAAATAATTTAAACATTTTTGTGAAGCTTGCATTCAATTGGCACTCCCTGTTGCAAACAAGCTTCCATTCCCCCTGTCACAAGGGGATTCATGACTGATTTAAGATGAAATCGTCAACTCTTACATTCAACCCTGTTACTTTATTTGGAGCTTAATAGGCACTTACTATAGTCATTTTTAATTGAATGTCTTGAGATGGGAAAACATGTTTTTATGAAATTGAACATTTCAACTGCTCCATTTTTTATGACAGAATGTTAAAATTAAGTGAAATCTATCTAAAGATTTTTTTAACCAACTTACACTTCTCAAAAGGTACCGAATTGGTTGAATGACTCTACTGCATTCCTGCTCTCTTTTTCTCCTTGTCTCTCTATCCTTGTCTGTCTGGTCTGTTTCTCCTACTCTTCCTCCATCTCTTCCCACACTGACTTTCACTCTTTCATACACGCACTAACATCTGGTAAATGCATCAGTGCATATACAGTTGAAGTCGGAAGTTTACATACACTTAGGTTGGAGTCATTAAAACTCAATTTTCAACCACTCTACAAATGTCTTGTTAACAAACTATAGTTTTGGCTAGTCGGTTAGGACATCTACGCATGACACAAGTAATTTTTATTTTAAGATGACTGTGCCTTTTAAACAGCTTGGAAAATTCCAGAAAATGTAGTCATGGCTTTTGAAGCTTCTGATAGGCTAATTGACATCATTTGAGTCAATTGGAGGTGTACCTGTGGATGTATTTCTAAGCCTACCTTCAAATTCAGTGCCCCTTTGCTTGACATCATGGGAAAATCTAAAGAAATCAGCCAAGACCTCAGAAAAAAAATTGTAGACCTCCACAAGTCTGGTTCATCCTTGGGAGCAATTTCCAAAAGCCTGAAGGTACCACGTTCATCTGTACAAACAATAGTACGCAAGTATAAACACCATGGGACCACGCAGCCGTCATACCACTCAGGAAGGAGACACGATCTGTCTCCTAGAGATGAACGTACTTTGGTGTGAAAAGTGCAAATCAATCCCAGAACAACAGCAAAGGACCTTGTGAAAATGCTGGAGGAAACAGGTACAAAAGTATCTATATCCACAGTAAAACTAGTCTATATCGACACAACCTGAAAGGCCGCTCAGCAAGGAAGAAGCCACTGCTCCAAAACCGCCATAAAAGAGCCAGACTACGGTTTGCAACTGCACATGGGGACAAAGATCGTACTTTTTGGAGAAATGTCCTCTGGTCTGATGAAACAAAAATAGATCTGTTTGGCCATAATGACCATCGTTATGTTTGGAGGAAAAAGGGGGTTACTTGCAAGCCGAAGAACACCATCCCAACCGTGAAGCACGGGGGTGGCAGCATCATGCTGTGGGGGTGCTTTGCTGCAAGAGGGACTGGTGCACTTCACAAAATAGATGAGGAAGGAAAATTATGTGGATATATTGAAGCAACATCTCAAGACATCTGTCAGGAAGTTAAAGCTTGGTCGCAAATGGGTCTTCCAAATGGACAATGACCCCAAGCACACTTCCAAAGTTGTGCCAAAATGGCTTAAGGACAACAAAGTCAAGGTATTGGAGTGGCCATCACAAAGCCCTGACCTCAATCCTATAGAAAATGTGTGGGCAGAACTGAAAAAGCGTGCGCGAGCAAGGAGGCCTACAAACCTGACTCAGTTACACCAGCCAGCTCTGTCAGGAGGAATGGCCCAAAATTCACCCAACTTATTGTGGGAAGCTTGTGGAAGGCTACCCGAAATGTTTGACCCAACATTTCACATTCTTAAAATAAAGTGGTGATCCTAACTGATTTAAGACAGGGAATTTTTACTAGGATTTAATGTCAGGAATTGTGAAAAACTGAGTTTAAATGTATTTGGCTAAGGCATATGTAAACCTCCGACTTCAACTGTATTCTCATAATACACATGTCAAGGGAAGACCTAAACTTAGACTAAACACTAAATGGCCTGCTGATTGTGCTGAAGAGACACCATTCAATATGGCGTATTACCTGTTGCTTCCTCCCTTCATTAAGAGTGTATTGAGCTGGCTTGCATCAGTGCTCGGGGTCCATTGACAGCCATTGTGTGACATTGGTTGGGTGAGTTTGAACAGAGCAACTGGACGATAGCCTGTATGGACTGGCTCAACTCTCAGGCATGTCTTGTTTATGGCAGCGTGTGACCTAGCTAATTTTTCTGATTCTTTCTCTCCCCCTCTAACCTCCCTGTCCTGTCTTCTCCCCTCCCTCTCTCCCTACACCACTGTACTCCACCATACTTGCCCCTGGTTCCCTCCTCCCTTCTCCATCATTAACCCCTCCCCCAACTCTTCTCCTTGCCCCCTTTCTATCTCACACTATCTCTATCAATTCAACTCAATAAGCTTTTTTTGCATAATAAATCATTACATTGTACAATAACTCTTTCTCTGTCTCTCCCTTAGTGAGTCCAGTATATGCCAGGCTCGGGCCACGGTGATGATCTATGATGATGCGGATAAGAAGTGGCTCTCGGCAGGAACAGGGCCTCAGGTCTTCAGCAGGGTCCAGATCTACCACAACCCCTCCACTAACGCCTTCAGAGTGGTGGGACGCAAGATGCAGACAGATCAACAGGTTGTGTGTGTGTGTGTGCGTGCGTGCGTGCACGTCTATATTTACATTATCTATGACTATGGGTTAAAGTGTGTGTGAATGCATGTTTCACTGATTGTGTGTGTGTTTGGTCTTGTGTGATGTTGTACATCAACAGCTGCACACCTCTAGTACCAACAAGCCCTGCCAGCTGTAGAACTGTGAATCAGCCCTTTCTCCACCTGTGGCCATGTGCAGGCAGACTAACACCCACTAACTTCCTCTGTGATGCAAGCACAGACACCCTACCACAGGTTCTCTGTGCTGGGTCAACGAGCTGTATTCTGTCTCCTATAGTTCACCCATCAGGGCCAGCAGGCTAGTACGGGCCTGGGTGGCACGGAGCACATGGGGCCTATCAATACTTACACCTCCTGTACTGTCACAGCTTTAACAATAGAACAAGACAAACAACACTATATATACTGAACAAAAATATAAATGCAACATGTAAAGTGTTGGTCCCATGTTGCATTTATATATTTTTATATATTTTTTAGGCGACGTGGCTGGGTAATATCTAACAATTTCACAACATATACCCAATACACACAAATCTAAGTAAGGAATGGAATTAAGAATATATACATATATGGATTAACAATGACAGAGCGGCATGGACTAAGATACAGTAGAATATTATAGAATACAGTATATACATATGAGATGAGTAATGCAAGATAAGTAAACATTATTAAAGTGACTAGTGTTCCATTTCTTAAAGTGGCCAGTGATTTCTATAGGCAGCAGCAGCCTCTAATGTGCTAGTGATGGCTATTTAACAGTCTGATGGCCTTGAGACAGAAGCAGTTTTTCAGTCTCTCAGTCCCAGCTTTGATGCACCTGTACTGACCTCGCCTTCTGGATGATAGCGGGGTGAACAGGCAGTGGCTCGGGTGGTTGATGTCCTTGATGATCTTTTTGGCCTTCCTGTGACATCGGGTGCTGTATGTGTCCTGGAGGGCGGGTAGTTTGCCCCCGGTAATGCGTTCGGCAGACCGCACTACCCTCTGGAGAGCCTTGCGGTTGCGGTCGGTGCAGACAGGATGCTCTCAATTGTGTATCTGTAAAAGTTTGTGAGGGTTTTAGGTGCCAATCCAAATTTCTTCAGCCTCCTGAGGTTGAAGAGGCTCTGTTGCGCCTTCTTCACCACACTGTCTGCGTGGTGGACCATTTCAGTTTGTCAGTGATGTGTATGCCAAGGACCTTGAAGCTTTCCACCTTCCCCACTGCGGTCCCGTCAATGTGGATAGGGGGGTGCACCCTCTGCTGTTTCCTGAAGTCCACAATCATCTCCTTTTTGTTTTGTTGACGTTGAGTGTGAGGTTATTTTCCTGGCACCACACTCCCAGAGCCCTCACCTCCTCCCTGTAGGCTGTCTCGTCATTGTTGGTAATCAAGCCTACTACTGTTGTGTCATCTGCAAACTTGATGATTGAGTTGGAGGCGTGCTTGGCCACGCAGTCATGGGTGAAAAGGGAGTACAGGAGGGGGCTGAGCACGCACCCTTGTGGGGCCCCAGTGTTGAGGATCAGCGAAGTGGAGATGTTGTTCCCTACCTTCACCACCTGGGGGCGGCCCATCAGGAAGTCTTGGACCCAGTTGCACAGGGCAGGGTTCAGACCCAGGGCCTCGAGCTTAATGATGAGCTTGGAGGGTACTATGGTGTTGAATGCTGAGCTATAGTCAATGAACAGCATTCTTACATAGGTATTCCTCTTGTCCAGATGGGATAGGGCAGTGTGCAGTGTGATGGCGATTGCATCGTCTGTTGTTCTATTGGGGCGGTAAGCAAATTGAAGTGGGTCTTAGGGTGACCGGTAAGGTAGAGGTGATATGATCCTTTACTAGTCTCTCAAAGCACTTCATGATGACAGAGGTGAGTGCTACGGGGCGATAGTCATTTAGTACAGTTACCTTTGCTTTCTTGGGTACAGGAACAATGGTGGCCATCTTGAAGCATGTGGGGACAGCAGACTGGGATAGATTGTATATGTCCGTAAACACACCAGCCAGCTGGTCTGGGCGTGCTCTGAGGACGCAGCTAGAGATGCCGTCTGGGCCGGCAGCCTTGCGGGGGTTAACATGCTTAAATGACTTAACCACGTCGGCCACGGAGAAGGAAAGCCCACAGTCCTTGGTAATGGGCCGCGTCAGTGGCACTGTGTTATCCTCAAAGCGGGCAAAGAAGGTGTTTAGCTTGTCTGGAAACAAGACGTCGGTGTCGGCGATGTGGCTGGTTTTCCTTTTGTAGTCCGTGATTGTCTGTAGACCCTGCCACATACGTCTCGTGTCTGAGACGTTGAATGGCAACTCCACTTTGTCTCTATACTGATGTTTTGCCTGTTTAATTGCCTTGCGGAGTGAATAGCTACACTGTTTGTATTCCGCCATATTCCCAGTCACCTTGCCATGGTTAAATGCGCTGGTTTGCGCTTTCAGTTTTGCGCGAATGCTGCCATCTATCCACCGTTTCTGGTTAGGGTAGGTTTTAATAGTCACAGTGGGCACAACATCTACTATAAACTTCCTGATAAACTCAGTCAATGTTTCAGTGTATTCGTTGAAATAATTTTTGCAAGCTACCCGGAACTTATCCCAGTCCGCGTGATCAAAACAATCTTGAAGTGTGGATTCCGATTGGTCAGACCAGCGTTGAATAGTCCTTAGCACGGGTACTTCCTGTTTTAGTTTCTGCCTATAGGAATGGAGGCGTGGTCAGATTTGCCGAAAGGAGGGCGGGGGAGGGCCTTATAAGCATCCCGGAAGTTAGAGTAGAAATGGTCGAACTTTAGCAGCCCGAGTACAACAGTCGATATGTTGATAGAACTTCGGCAGCCTAGTCCTCAAATTTGCTTTGTTAAAATCCCCAGCTACAATAAATGCAGCCTCAGGATATGTGGTTTCTTTGAGGGCTTGGTATTGGCTTGAGGGGGGGGATATACACGGCCGTGACTATAACCGAAGAAAATTATCTTGGGAGATAATACGGTCGGCATTTGATTGTGAGGTATTCTAGGTCGGGTAAACAAAAGGACTTGAGTTACTGTATGTTACTACAATTACACCATGAGTCGTTAATCATGAAATACACACCTCTGCCCTTCTGCTTCCCGGAGAAATATTTATTTCTGTCTGCGCGATGAACTGAGAACCCATCTGGCTGGACCGATTTCGACAAAATATCCAGAGAGAGACATGTTTTCGTGAAACAAAGTATATTACAGGTCCTGATGTCTCTCTGGAAATAAATCCTTGCCCTGAGCTCATCGACTTTGTTATCAAAAGACTGAACTTTAGCGGGTAGTATGCGCGCCTCCTAAGTCGAACCTGCAGGCCGCTTCGAGTGCCTCTCCTCCGCCGGCGACGTTTTGGGTTAGCCGCTGGAATCAGTTCAATTGCCCTGGGGAGAGCAAACAAAGGATCTGCTCCGGGAAAGTCGTATTCCTGGTCGTAATGCTGGTAGTTCTGGTGAGTTACTGCCGCTATGATATCCAATAGTTTTTCCCGGCTGTATGTAATGATACAAAACACTTTCTGAGCTAATAATGTAAAAAATAATACATAAAAAAACAAAATAGAAAAGTTTCCTAAGATCTAGTCGTGAGGCCACTATCTTCGTCGGCGCTACCATAAGCACCTCCATTGTTTTAGAGCATTTGGCAGTATGTCCAACTGGCCTCACAGCCACAGACCACGTGTAACCTCCCGAGTGGTGCAGTGGTCTAAGGCACTGCATCGCAGTGCTAGCTGTGCCACTAGGGATCCTGGTTCGAAACCAGGCTCTGTCGTAGCCGGCCGCGACCGGGAGACCCATGGGGCGGCGCACAATTGGCCCAGCGTCGTCCAGGGGAGGGGAGGGAATGGCCGGCAGGGATGTAGCTCAGTTGGTAGAGCATGGCGTTTGCAACGACAGGGTTGTGGGTTTGATTCCCACGGGGGGCCAGTATGAAAAATGTTTATAATGTATGCACTCACTAACTGTAAGTCGCTCTGGATAAGAGCGTCTGCTAAATGACTAAAATGTCAAATGTAACCACGCCAGCCCAGGACCTCCACATCCGGCTTCTTCACCTGCGGGATCATCTGAGGCCAGCCACCCGGATAGCTGATTAAACTGAGGAATATTTCTGTCTGTAATAAAGCCCTTTTGTATTGAAAACTGATTGGCTGGGCCTGGCTCCCCAGTGGGTGGGCCTGTGCCCTCCCAGGCCCACCCATTGCTGCGCCCCTGCCCAGTCATGTGAAATCTATAGATTAGGGCCTAATGAATTGATTTAAATGGACTGATTTCCTTATATGAACTGTAACTCAGTAAAGTCGTTGAAATTGTTGCATTTATATTTTTGTTCAGTATAGATACAGTATCTCACCACCCCATCCCCCTCTATCTCTTCCCCCTCTCCCTCTATCTCTCCGTATCATCCTCTCATTAAACATCCAGTCGCCTGAGTGTACCCCATAGATGTATCTTAAAGTGGAGTATGTTTCCTGAGAGGTAGTTGGCCAGCTCAACCACTTCCTGTGACAATTATGGATGCCTTCCCCCTCTCTCCATCTCTGTTGCCTCTCTCTGTGTTTGTGTCTCTCCCTCCCCTTCGTTCTCTCTTGCTCTCTCGCTCTCTCTCTTTCTCTCTGAGTATCTCTGTCCCCTCTCTCTGTGTCTGTGTCTCCCTCTCTTTCTCTCTCTCTCTCCCCGAGTATCTATATCCCCTCCCTCTGTGTCTGCGTCTCTCTCTCTAACTCCCTGACTCTTTTGGCGCGGGGAGTTTAGGCACTCGCTCGCTCCTCCGCTCTGTGGAATTCAGGGATTGTAAAACAGAAACGATGCATCAGCACATTCAGACTGAGTCACTCAAACCCAGAGCACCGTGGCTTGTATTGAATCACCAGGCTGGTGCCATCTGCTGGACTGATATAGACCTAGGGTGCATTTCTCTTGTCCAAGCTGGCTTCCTCTCCATGATCTGAAAGCACAGGCTGAGTGCAATATGAAAAAAGCTTTCAATTAGGGAAGATGGAGGAGAGGAGACCATGCCACATTAGACTGAGATGCACCCTAAACACTAACACTTAGGGCTGGGTGATATATCGTGTATACCGGAATGGATCCACATACCGGTATGGATTTGTATCACTGAGTGTTTGTATTAATGTCTAATATTTCCATTACCAATGTAGTTTCTTCCATACAACATGAGTAAAGACCGTTCACTTCTCTAAAATCTACAGTTTGTCCATTTCAACTATACAGATCATCACCTTGTTTCTTGATAAAGAAGTGGTATCCATGATATGCCAATGTTGGGAGTGTCATGTCTTGACTCCGACCCCCTTCTCTCTAAGGTGGTGATTAACTGTCCGATTGTGAAAGGCCTGAAGTACAATGAGGCCACGCCCAACTTCCACCAGTGGCGGGACGCGCGGCAGGTGTGGGGGCTCAACTTCGGCAGTAAGGAGGATGCCGCCCTCTTCGCCAACGGAATGGCCCACACACTGGAAGTGCTCAACTCCCTGGCAGACGCAGGTACTATTAGAATGGATCGTACATGCAGCCTCAACATGCATGACAACATGCTTTGCAATACCTAAAGGCACAGCACTGTCTGAGAAAGAATTTAGAGAGATGCATGTGTGGAAACATGAGCATGGCTTGCATTTCACAGCTTTCTTCTTAAGTCATACTAAGAAAATCTCTTTCCCCTCTCTATCTCCAGGTTATGCTACCCTCCCCCGCCCAGTGTCAAATGGACCCTCCCCAGAGGAGCTGGAACAGCAGCGGAGGTACCAAGTGTGGGATATCTGGGGTGGGGTGGGGAGGGGGGAGAACAGTACACTCACCTTTACTACCAGATTGAGTTGTAATTAAGGGTCAATACAAGTATCAAGACAAGACAGCTTCGTATGACCAGAGTCCCACTGACCTGGTTTTACATAACCACACATGCACACTGACTCAAAGGATTTATCGGCATTAGCCTTACGCCGCTTAGCCCTCAGCCAGCCTCTTGAGGTCATAGGTTGAAAAGCTAAAGAAGGTCAACTCCTCTTTGACATCGAAATCCATTCTTTCCCACCAACTCCTCTACCTGTGGACCCCATACTCGCCAAGGATACGCCCATCTTTACCCCTAATCTCATTTAGTCTAATGGGCAATATGACACACTGGGGAGGCTCTGGGATAGGCTGCCGAGTTTGTCCGTCAAATGGTGGTAGTAATGGTCACAGATATGAGTGTCAAGCTGGTGCCAACGGAGAAGACCGACATCTTACGAGTTCCAACTCCTTTGCTATATAGTGACTTTTATCGTGTATATATTTCCTTTTATTTGTACAGAAAGTTCATACTATTATCACATATGACCGCCAAGCACTTCTGGACATCAGATTGACAGTTACTAACCTCGATTTTGACTTCAAATACGACTTCAACTCCGACTCAGCTGTTCCACTGTTCATACCGGACCCTATTACCGTTGTTCCATGGGCTACCAAAATGCTGCAGGCGTAGACACGGGAGACGAGGCGGCGTTCTGGTAAAATTGAGGCGAATAGAAAACCGAACGGCGCTCCCCTCCGTTTTATTGGCAAATGTCCAGTCACTCAAGAAAAAGATGGGAGACTCTCGAACGAAGCTCATCCATCAGAGAGACTTGAAAAGCTGCAATATGTCTTACTGAAACGTGGCTGGATGATGACGCTATGCACGTAGTACTCGGTGGATTCTCCATGCAGCGGCAGGATCGGACGGTGGCTTCGGGGAAGTCGAAAGGAAGTGGAGTGTTTTTTCATAAATAACAACTGGTGTGCTGCTTCAAGTGTGAAGGAAATCTTTAGCTTTTGCTCACCTGATATAGAATACCTCATGGTAAGCTACAGACCATTTGATCTACCAAGAGTTCTCATCTGTAATTATCATGGCTGTCTACATCCCTCCGCAAGCAAACACCACTCTGGCACTCAACGAACTGTATGGGGCCATAAACAAAAAAGAAACCGCTCACCCAGAGGCAGCGTTTCTGGTGGGCAGAGACTTTAACGCGGGGAGACATAAACCTGTCCTACCTCACTTCTACCAACATGTAACCAGCGCCACTAGGGGCGCTATAACTCTAGACCACTTTTATTCTACCCACAGAAGTGCATACAAGGCCCTCCCTCGTCCTCACTTCGGCAAATTTGACCATGACTTCATTCTCCTGCTTCTTTTTTACAAACAAAAGCTCAAACAGAAGTACCAGTGATGCGCTCAATATGAAAGTGGTCGGATGAAGCAGACGCGAGGCTACAAGACTGTTTTGCTAGTACAGACTGGGATATGTTCCGGGATTCATCCAATAGCATTGACGAGTTTACCACAACAGTCACGGGCTTCATCAATAAGTGCATAGACGATGTCGTCCCCACAGTGACTATAAGAACATATCCATACCATAAACCATGGATTACAGGCAATATCCACGCTGGGCTATAGCTACCCGCTTACAAGGAACAGGACACAGACATGGACGCATACAAGAAAGCCCACTACGACCTCTGACGAGACATCAAACATGCAAAAGGACAATATAGGATAAAGGTGGAATCCTATTACACCGGCTCCAACGCTCGTCGTATGTGGCAGGGCTTGCAGACGATAACGGATTACAAAAGGAAACCCAGCCATGAGTTGCCCAGCGACGCAGAACTCCCAAACGAGTTAAATACCTTTTTTATGCTCATTTCGAGGCATATAACACTGTGCCTTGCGTGAAAGCCCCTGTTTTCCGGATGACTGTGTGATCTCGCTCTCCGTGGCTGATGTGAGCAAAATGTTTAAACAGGTTAACAAACACAAGGCTGCCGAGCCAGTCGGAATACCAGGGGATGTTCTCAAAGCATGCGCAGACCAGCTTGCAAGTGTCTTCACAGACATTTTGAATCTCTCCTTGTCCCAGTCTGTAATCCCAACATGTTTCAAGTTGACCACCATTGTCTCTGTTCCCAAGAGCTCTAAGGTATCCTGCCTAAATGACTATCGCCCTGTAGCACTCACATCTGTAATGATGAAGTGCTTTGAAAGGCTGGTCATGACACACATCAACACCATCATTCCAGACACCCTAGACCCACTCAAATTCACATACTGCCCCAACAGATCCACAGATTACGCAATCTCAATTGAACTTTACACTGCCGTCTCCCACCTGGATAAGAGGGGAAATAACTGTGAGAATGCTGTTCATAGACTACAGCTCAGCGTTCAACACCATAGTCTCCTCCAAGCTCATCACCAAGCCAAGGACCCTGAGACTGAACCCCTCCCTCTGCAACTGGATCCTGGACTTCCTGACTGGCCGGACCCAGGTGGTGAGGGTAGGTAACAACACCTCCACCACGCTGACCCTCAACATGGGGGGTCCCTCAGGGGTGTGTGCTTCGTCCCCTCCTGTACTCCCTGTTCACCCACGACTGCGTGTCCACCATCATCAAGTTTACTGACGACACGATGGTGGTAGGCCTGATCACCGATGGCGATGAGACTTAGCAATGTGGTGCCAGGTCAACAACCTCTCTCCCCTCAACGTCAGCAAGACAAAGGAGCTGATCATGGACTACAGGAGAAAGAGAGCAGAGCACGCCCCCATCCACATTGACGGGGCTGTTGTGGATTGGGTCGAGAGCTTCAAGTTCCTTAGCGTCCACATCACTAAGGACTTAACATAGTACACACACACCCGCCCAGTCGTGAAGAGGGCACGACAGCGCCTCTTCCCACTCAGGAGGCTGAAAAGATTTGGCATGGGCCCTCGGATCCTCAAAAAGTTCTACAGCTGCACCATTGAGAGCATTCAGACTGGTTGCATCACCGCTTGGTATGGCAAATGCAACGCCCTTGACCGCAAAGCACTACAGAGGGTGGTGCGCACAGCCCAGTACATCACTGGGGCGTTGCATTTGTACATCACTGGGGCGTTGCATTTGTACATCACTGGGGCGTTGCATGGTGTGTACCATATACAGTGAGGGGGAAAAAGTATTTGATCCCCTGCTGAGTTTGTACGTTTGCCCACTGACAAAGACATGATCAGTCTATAATTTTAATGGTAGGTTTATTTGAACAGTGAGAGACAGAATAACAACAAAACAATCCAGAGAAACGCATGTCAAAAATGTTATGAATTGATTTGCATTTTAATGAGGGAAATAAGTATTTTACCCCTCTGCAAAACATGACATAGTACTTGGTGGCAAAACCCTTGTTGGCAATCACAGAGGTCAGACGTTTCTTGTAGTTGGCCACCAGGTTTGCACACATCTCAGGAGGGATTTTGTCCCACTCCTCTTTGCAGATCTTCTCCAAGTCATTAAGGTTTTGAGGCTGATGTTTGGCAACTCGAACCTTCAGCTCACTCCACAGATGTTCTATGGGATTAAGGTCTGGAGACTGGCTAGGCCACTCCAGGACCTTAATGTGCTTTTTCTTGAGCCACTCCTTTGTTGCCTTGGCCGTGTGTTTTGGTCATTGTCATGCTGGAATACCCATCCACGACCCATTTTCAATGCCCTGGCTGTACCCAAGATTTGACGGTACATGGCGCCGTCCATCGTCCCTTTGATGCAGTGAAGTTGTCCTGTCCCCTTAGCAGAAAAACACCCCCAAAGCATAATGTTTCCACCTCCATGTTTGACGGTGGGGATGGTGTTCTTGGGGTCATAGGCAGCATTCCTCCTCCTCCAAACACGGCGAGTTAAGTTGATGCCAAAGAGCTCGATTTTGGTCTCATCTGACCACAACACTTTCACCCAGTTCTCCTCTGAATCATTCAGATGTTCATTGGCAAACTTCAGACGGGCCTGTATATGTGCTTTCTAGAGCAGGGGGACCTTGCGGGCGCTGCAGGATTTCAGTCCTTCACGGCGTAGTGTGTTACCAATTGTTTTCTTGGTGACTATGGTCCCAGCTGCCTTGATCATTGACAAGATCCTCCCGTGTAGTTCTGGGCTGATTCCTCACCTTTCTTACGATCATTGCAACTCCACGAGGTGAGATCTTGCATGGAGCCCCAGGCCAAGGGAGATTGACAGTTATTTTGTGTTCCTTCCATTTGCGAATAATCTCACCAACTGTTGTCACCTTCTCACCAAGCTGCTTGGCGATGGTCTTGTAGCCCATTCCAGCCTTGTGTAGGTCTACAATCTTGTCCCTGACATCCTTGGAGAGCTCTTTGGTCTTGGCCATGGTGGAGAGTTTGGAATCTGATTTATTGATTGCTTCTGTGGACAGGTGTCTTTTATACAGGTAACAAACTGAGATTAGGAGCACTCCCTTTAAGAGTGTGCTCCTAATCTCAGCTCGTTACCTGTATAAATAACACCTGGGAGCCAGAAATCTTTCTGATTGAGAGGAGGTCATACTTATTTCCCTCATTATAATGCAAATCAATTTATAACATTTTTGACATGCGTTTTTCTGGATTTTTTTGTTGTTATTCTGTCTCTCACTGTTCAAATAAACCTACCATTAAAATTATAGACTGATCATTTCTTTGTCAGTGGGCAAACGTACAAAATCAGCAGGGGATCAAATACTTATTTCCCTCACTGTACACACCATATACACACACTACATTGTCACTCCCACACACATTCAGATACACTACATACGCACACACACACATAACACACGTTTACACTCATTTGCTGCTGCTACTCTGTTCTTTATTTTACTCGTATTATTATATATCCTGATGCCTAGTCACTTTACCCTGCCTGTACATACAGCATCTACCTCAAATAGCTCGTACCTCTGCACATTGATTTGGTACTGGTACTCCCTGTATGTAGCTCCATTCTTGTGTATTTTATTTTATTTCTCTTGTGTTACTATTTTATTTTTAAACTCTGCATCATTGTGAAGGGCTCATAAGTGTTGTGACGTGACTTTCACTAATATGATGACTGTTATTTATAAAATCAACTAACTACGTTTAATTGTTACTTGATTAAATTGATCATGTAACAATTAACTCATTAGGATTTGGGGCACCACGGAATAAGTTGTTTATAGAGTTACCATCTCCCGAATTAAACTCTAAAAGGTCTTTACCTATCACTATGTATAAAACAGTCAACGTATCAGTCATTACCTCTTATCAGTCATCATTCTGAATGGTCGCAGAATTCTTGGATCCGCAAGAACCCCAGCTTTACGTATGATTCAGCACTACACAAATTGGCTTAATTATTTATTTACTAGCTAACTAGTAAGGCTCTGATTGTCCACCAGAGGTCACAATGTCCTTCTTCTTTGTTCTGGCTTGTAGTTGAGTGTACTCAGAGCTGATACTCAGATGCACCAGTGATTGTCTGAGATGGGATTTTCTCCTTCCCCCTCGTGTGGTTAGTCAAAGTTCTAGATCACTTTACACGCACAGCTACAGACTGGCAATGTTCTGGTCTAGTGAGTTTATCTTTTTCACCTCGTGTTGAGATTCAAAGGTCTAACCATTTTAAGCTGTGTAGCCACAGCTCCACGCTTTCTGGTCTAATGTGAATTTCGTTACCAAGGCTTTTTATGCACTCTGGTGAAAGGGGCATTCCTACTTGCTGACACGGTCTCTGAGCTCACTCGGGGCGTGGCTACTGACTGCATAGCTTATATGAAAACCTATGATCTTGTTAGAAAACTAAAATCGCATTCCTATCTTACCAAAAATGCTTTCATAATTTTTCATTTCTTATACACAACATATTGGATGAAGACTTGCCAGATAGAATGTGTATAGTTTCCAAATTACAGTACTTTCTTGATACCATCCTTAATGACATCACAAAATAATAAACAATATGACATGATTATTCTTTAGATCGCCACTGACCATTCCCCACATTCTGATGTTGGAAATATTGATCCAGTGTTCACTTTTTGGACGTAAAAGTTTGCAAAAGTCTTCTGGAGTCAAAACACATTCCTTTACCAATACTGAGAGGCAAGGGAGAGATTCCCCTCCTGCCTAATTTACAACCGAGTGTTAAGGTGTCAAAACCGGCCCAGCCCCCCTTCCCCTCTTCTGTGGGTGAGAGGGTCTGGTTGTTGTCAGCCATTTGCCAAGCTGACCTGAGGCCTTTGGATCCTCAGCCAGGAGAGTCATGATATAAGAAAACATTTCACAGTAAAGTCTACACCAGCCCTCAGTCAACCAACAGTGCTTTAAAGTGTGTGGCAGCAGCAGCTCTTGTGGGCGACAATGTGCTGGGGTAGGGGACCTGGAGTGACCCAGATTAGGGCTTCTTGGGGATTAGGGCTTCTTGGCCAGATGTGGACTTTAATTTCAGTGCTGGACTAATCAGGAGCTCCTTCACCAACCCAGCATGGCCGCATAGTCAGCACAATTTAATAACAAATATGCTCTTCAGTCTAACACTGCTCCAGAGCCATTTATCACAATTAGACAGTGCCCACTGGGATTGTTTGAAAATGGTTGTTGCTTTAATTAAAGAATTGCTGGTACAGTTCACTTGCCATGTCATTAGTGTGGAAAGATTAAAACCAAAATGTAATTTCTCTGCCAGGCCACCTCTGGCTGGATACCTCCTTTTCAGGGAGGATGTGGTAACTTCTCATTCAGCCCTTCACCAGATACAACTTTGTTATATTATTTGTGCCTCTTAATCTGTTGACTGTTTGGGTGTGTTAATCCCCATGAGTTTTGACCCTGTAGGCTGGAGCAGCAGAGGCTGGAACAGCAGGAGAGAGAGAGGCAGGAGTGGGAGAGACTGGAGAGAGAGAGACAAGCTGCAACAGGTCAGAGGCACCATCTTGTGTCAAACAGCCACACTGACAGCAATACAGTTAGCCTTTTTGAACAAAGCCATTATTTTTTTTTACCCATTCTCTGAACGTAGTATACTCTGTGACAGTCTCTTACCTTTTTTATTTTTAGTGCCCACTCCCCCGGCTCCACCGTTGGCCCCCCCAGCACCTCCGGGCCCTCCTCCACCCCCCGGCCCTCCTCAGTCTGGGCCCCCTCCACCCCCTGGACCTCCTCCCCCAGGACCCCCGGCCGCAGGATCAGGACCCCCACCTGCCCCACCGCTGCCCTCCCCGGGAGGAGATGGGGGCCTAGGGGGAGGTGCAGGGGGCCTGGCGGCAGCCTTAGCCGGAGCCAAGCTCCGCAGAGTGGCCAAGGTGAGAGAGAGAAAAGAGAAAGAGTGGCCTCAGGATAAGAATTAGCATAACAATTGTTTTGTATCTGTTGTATCTATCTCCAAATTTATGCAACCACCATTCATTTCTGATTTGGACTTCAATGCCAATCATTTTGAATGCCGAGCCTCTCTGTTTTGTAGTGCTAGCTAGAGCTAAAGGTGGTGTAGCTCAGTTGGTAGAGCATGGCGTTTGCAACGCCAGGGTCGTGGGTTTGATTCCCACGGGGGGCCAGTATGAAAAAAAAATAATGTATGCACTCACTAACTGTAAGTCGCTCTGGATAAGAGCGTCTGCTAAATGACTAAAATGTAAATGTAAAAATGTGTTGTGTCGATACTCTAACTGCTCCTGTGTCTTCTACTGCCCTCTGTAGGATGATAGTGGTAGTGGTGCTTTTGCTGCTGTTGCTGCTGCTGCTGCTTCTTCTGCTGCAGCACCGGCTGCCAAGCCTGATCAAAGCCGCACCAGTGCCTCCATCGGTGGTGGTGGTGGTGGAGGAGGAGGCCTGATGGGTGAGATGGCATCCATCCTGGCACGGAGGTAGGTGGCACTGAAGAGCGCACTCCTATAAATGAACAGATCCATACACCCCAGTCTAGAGCGCTGTGTATGCCCCTCTATGGCTCTGATCTGGCTTAGTGAATCTTTAAGTGTTGTATCACGCTCTTACTCTCCTTTTATGTCTGTCTGTCTTGTTCAGGAAAAAAATGGCAGACGGTGGGGCTAAGCCACCTGCTAAGACATCAGATAATGTAAGTATTTGTTCATTTATTGGCCAACTATGTTGTGAATACATAATTGAACAATTTCCATGTAGTCAGAAAACACTCAAGTTTGGCTGGTCTAACTCTGTTTCCTGTCTCCCTACAGGGTGACTCAGAGTCTCAAGGCCAAACTGGTGAGAACTGCGTGTGTCTGTGTGCCAGTCTCTGTTTTGTTTGTACCTAGGAAGACAAATCTGCTTAATATTTGACTTTTATATGGTTTTGATTTAAAATATGCCTGTCTCCTTTTTAGACACTCTTGGAAGAAGACCTTGGGAGAAATCAGCCACTATGCCCAGGTAAGGTTTCAGCTTCCTATGCTCTCTCTGTGTCTGTAGTAAGAGCAGCCTGTGTGGACGTATGCCAGTCTCAGAATTCAAAGAGGTGTGTGTGTGTGTTGATGAATTGGTTGCTTCCCATTCTAAGAGCAGAGTGTGTGTCTCACAAACAGGAATAATGTCATCTCCAAGAGCATGGACTCCACCTCTCCCTTGCCCCAGGGTCCCAGGTACAAAGTCGCTCCCATGACAAGAAAACAGGACTGATGCTTTCCTGCTCTCCCTAGCATACCGTCCCACTTCCCTTCTCTCTGTCAGGTCAACAGGGACACAGCTTCAGAGCGTGGTGCTGGGCCATTGTACTGTTGACAGCACCACCTAGTGGAATGCAGAAGGCTATGACTACTGTGACAGCCTTTATCATCTCTGCTCAAAAAGCTGCAGGATTCCATTCTGATATGTGAATTGATATTTATTTATTTTATTTGTATTTATTTATTTGCACCAAAGAAAACAAGTGATAGACAACAATACAGATACAAAAATATATGTATTTTTTAAACGGTGTGCAGGTGAGGTTGGTAGCCCAAGGGCTTATATGAAAGCCACACCACAAAAAAACTATATAAAATACATAAGTACAAAAATAAAAAAGGTTTGTAAAAACAGATAACAAAACCTACTAATTATAAATGTATAAATTAATTGATCAGTAATCACGATGTTTAGATGTTTCAAATCAAATTTTATTTGTCACATTCACGTGTTTAGCAGATGTTATTGCGGGTGTAGCGAAAGGCTTGTGCTTCTAGCTCCGACAGTGCAGTAATATCTAACAAGTAATATCTAACAATTTCACAACATATACCCAATACACACAAATTTAAGTAAGGAATGAATTAAGAATATATACATATATGGACAAGCAATGACAGAGCGGCATGGACTAAGATATAGTAGAATATTATAGAATACAGTATATACATATGAGATGAGTAGTGCAAAATATGTAAACATTATTAAAGTGACTGTGTGTGAGTGTATGAGAGTTAGGCTATATGGAGGAGATTACTGGTTAGTCAGGCTGACCCCCAGTTTTCGCTTGAGGTTATTGAGGGATGATGTTTTGGCAATGTGAAGATAAGCATTTCAGAGTATGGTACCTCTATAACTGATAGAGAATTGACTATGTGAGTTGGGGCAGTGGGGAGGGTGAAGGTTATCTTGTGTTTATATAGATGGATTTCAGATTGAACCTGGAGGAATCCATTGTAGGGTTTAGGTAAACTGTCTGGGAGGTATGAGTATTTGTAGATGAAAGTGCATAATTGGCGTACATTAATGTCGTAAATAGACAAAGGTGCAGATGGAGCCAGGTAATTAGAGGAGGTGGCTAGTCTTGAGTAATTTGTGTAGGTAGGAGACGTGTACTGGCCCAGACAATATTACAGTAAATGAGACATGGGTAAATTAAACTATAGTATAGAGTTAGGAAGCAAGCTTGATGAACCAAACCACTAATCTTTCTGATGATACCAACAGATTTCATCACTTTGCTGCAGACAAATTGAGTATGATCTTTCCAGGATAACTTTTCATCAATTAGAACTCCAAGGAATCTAGTGGACTTCCATTTCATTCCCACCAATTGAGATTATGGCTCTTTTTTTATATTTTCTTATTCATACTAGTGAATATATTAAAGTTTAATTTTTTTAAACCATTTTAAAGATAATTTGTTTATCTGGAACCATTCAGAAAATTTGACCATGTCTGAGTTGGCTTCATTAATTAGTGAATAAATTGTTCTCTATCATAAACATAACTATATAGCCAATGATATGTATAATCATGAAAACTGTAATAATGCAATTTAGAAAGTAATATTTAATCATCAAACGCTTTGGATATATCTAAAAAGATGCCAAGAGAGTTTCAATGTTGTTCAGGGTTGTAAATAATTTTTCCACAAGTTGCAAAAGAGAGTAGTTTTTATGAAAACCATATTGGTGCTCATATAGACTACAGTGTTGAAACCATACTGGTGCTCATATAGAATACAGTGTTGCTTTAAATGTTTCAACTTTCTGTTATACACCAATTTTTCTAGGATTTTAGACAAACATGGTAGTACAGATATTGGGCGATAATTTGTAAAAGATCTTGGATCCCCAGATTTATAGAGGGGGATAACTTAGGCAATTTTCAAATCTTTAGGAACAATACCAGTTTGCATAGATTTGATGAAGATATACGATAGAGGCTCAGTCGTCGAGGAAGACACTGATTTCACCAAAGAGGCACCAATCTCATCATGACCTGCTGCTGATATCTTTAAGTTACCAATTACCTCCAACTCCATTACATTAGGAGGATCAAACTGAAGCAGAGAAGGGAAATGCCCTTTAATGTAATCCAATGGATTTCCATCAGTTTTCTCTATTTCCTTTGACAGAGAGGAACCCACATTCACAAAACAGGATCACTATAGGTCTTATTTTCAACAATAAATTGAGATGGCATAGTTGTAGATGGCTTTTTCTTATTCAACAGTTGATTGATGATTTTCCAAGTTGACTTTATATTATTTAAGGATTCTTGGAATTTGTTATCCCATGATGTAGTATAGAATGGAATGTTGTGTGTTTTGCCTGTCATTTCTGGACATGTTGGTGTGGTCAACAGTCAAATGTCATTGAAACTTTGAAAGCTAGCCTTGGGTTTTCCACAGAATGTGGTTTTGTATGTGTTGTGCTTCCTGAGGCCTCTTTGGCGGTGCTATGGTGATGGGTTGGATTGACAGCGTAGGTTGTCACAGTGACTGTTTGATCTTAATCAGTCTCTCCCTTTCTCTCTCTGCCTCCCCTACCCACTCGCTTTCTTTTCCCCCCATCGCCACACCTCATCCAGGGTGAAGCATGCAGGTGGTAGTAATGATGCTGGAGGTAGTGAAGAGACCGATATGGAGAGGATTAAACAGGTAAATATTATTTTCTGCTGCACCTCTAATGCCAAGACTAGTAAAGACATATAATCATATGCAATACTAAGACTGTAAATGATCAAATGTTTTGGTTGCTTCCTGCAGGAGATTCTTGACGAGATGCGAAAGGAGTTACAAAAAGTCAAGGAGGAGATAATCGGGGGTGAGACTGCAGATATTTGTTTTGGGCCACAACCATGTTTCACACAGAGACTGATCTAATGACATTTGTATAAAAGTCTAAAGTAAGTGGGGGAAAAGAACAAAGGCACTACTTTTCTTTGTCAGATGTTGTATTGATTGTTTCTTGTCTCTCTCCTGTTCCACAGCCTTTATTGAGGAGCTACAGAAGAGGGGCTCCACATAGTTCTGCTAGAGTGGCGGGTGGAATGGATAGAGGAGGTTATGGCCCTGTATGGACCTCTCCCCTGTCACCCCCTCCAGTGTAGCCCAGGGATTTTTATTTCTCTCCCTCACACATTCTCACATTCACACACCTACATAACTGCACACGAAACGTACATGTTAACGCAGGGAACTGATTCACAACCACATTCAAACACAGGACTAGATCACCTGCTATCACCCCAGCTGCGATGACACCACCTCTCCTCGCACATCCCTTCTTGTATCCAACTTTTCCTTCATTTCATGAGAACCACTGCAGAGCACATAATCACGGCTGCTGTTGCTCTTACTCCTTGTCATGTACAGTTGTATCTCTCCCCCCATGTATCTGCCCCATAGAAATCCTGCTCCTACTCACTCCCTTCGTCAGACAGACCAGTGTTTTTACTGGGGTCTTCAGTATTCAGGGAAGAACATATCATTCATTCTTGTTACTTTAATGACAGAGTGGTTGGTTGGCTTTTGTAAGAATCCTCTTTAACCTGGCACAGCTTCAACCTCAAACACTGCCTTCAAATATAACATTTTAGATAACCCAAGACAACACAACATAGGCCTATCTTGAGAATGTGTGGTGACGGGAGGACACTACCAGATCGTTCAGGGACACCATGGTGGAGGGCTTTCATCCCCAGAACACACTACTTCCTGCAGGCCTGGTGCACAACAACAAGAGCTTATACTGCCCCACTGCCTTGAAGCAAGGTCTACCGCTCCCAAGTGGACTGCTCTGTCAATGGCCAAAAAAGAGACACTACACAAACTTCAATTCTACAGACTTGGATAAGTCAGAGGAAACATGCAAAGGGAATGTGATGGACTGCCCGGAGTGCCGTGAGGGAGAAGAGTGCTGTGGTTCTGAGCTATGGAGGGAATCCTAGTTCTTTCTGCATTACACTTGGCCCGGAGAAAGTATATTTTGTGCCACTTGCACTCTCATCTTTACCTTCTGCTCAAAATGAGACACTAATCATTGGCCACTGCAGTGGTCCTAAACTGTACTGTTTTTTCTTTTGTTTTCAGGTGTGTTTTCTAACTACATTGAAATATATAAATTAATAAAATGGCCATGACTAAGTCAATTAATTGGCCATGACCAACTGCCTTGGAGTGTGTGTATGTATGTATATGTGTGTATATATATATATATACACACACATCTATATATATTTGTTTTGAGGGAAAATGTTAGCAAAACTGTGATGCTGTTTCTATTTTAATTGAGATGACTGGTGAATGGGGAATTGTTTTGATTGTTTTCTTTTTAAGATATGTTATTTTGGGTTACTGTTGTTTTTTTTCTAATAGAGTATAAGCTTTTTACACTGAAATATAAATAAAACAACATAGAGACACTGGATTAAAGATGCCTTTAGTCAAATACAGCTGCTTCTTGTAATGCATCAGGGTCTTGGGTCTTTCCTTTTGTTGGTCTTTCTGTTGAAGCTCATTTAAATCCTTTTTAAACCTTAAATATGTTCAGGATATTCTGGCTGTCAATGCATTGAATGGAATGACGATGATGTGCATGTATTCAATATAGCTCAAATGCATTTATGAACATTTTGAATAGAAAAGAATGACATGTATTCATATTTAGATATGTTCAATATGACTCATCAGCATAGGGGTGGGGGATTTAGGAATGTTTCTCTGGTTTTTGTTCCTTCCAGATTGAGGGATCAAACGGCTTTTGTTATTAAAGTGGGATGCTTGGGACGACCCAACTAAAACGGTTAGGTTAGGGTTATGGTCAGGGTTAGAACTATGGTTAGGGTAGGATCCCACTTACGATCTATTGGGATCAAATGGTACAATGATTCAGACAGGACATACATGAGACCGTACAGGACATTACGCATGCTACAGGACAGTAGCATGGAAGATAGAATAGCACCTATGAGTTTAGAATTCATTTCATGACTAAAATCAATCATTCTAGAGCTGAGACCCTGTGACAGACACGATATTGAAACATAAACATGAACACACGATAATCCTACACTAAATGCACATCATGCAGAGAGGACATTTACACTTAAAATCCGCTGCATGTCCAATGAAGCGTGAATTATCCGGAACTGACGTAAAAGGGCGAATGATGTGGCAAAAATTGGAAGTCAATGTAAAACAAATAAGTATAAATAAATGTTTGGCCTCTTAGATACATTTAGGTGTGTTTTAGACTGTTCCATGTCAAAGGCAAAGATGAAATCACAGGTGGAACGATCATATTGGTTTGTCTGTCCTTCCAGTGATATCCCCAGCTGCTTCCGGATTGAGAACGTTCTGACAAAGATGGTGGCTAAATGAAGATGTCTTACTCAGGCCGTTTACCTTTGAAAAAAAAATCTGTTCCGGTTTGCTTAAGGGGTGGCTCAATGCGATAGCAGCTGGGTCTTGTCGGCTTAGTTCACTGACCGTATATGAACAAAACAAATTAGGGAGTTGGATGTCTCGCTTCCTCTTCCGTCTCAGATTCTGAGCTGTTTCCGTCGCCATTGCAGGTTTGGACTGAGATCAGTGCTTAAGACACTGCCATTTATTCAGGCAGTGGAGAAAACGCATAAACATCCGGCGGCTACACTTGACATAAGATTTTGGAATCACAATTTAGAAAATATTCTCAATAACAGCTTGATTGGACGTAAATATTCACTGTCTGACTACGACTTACGAATCAGTGAGTGAGGAGGTCGTAGCTAGCACGGTGCTAACCTAGCCAACTAGCTGCTTAGCTAGAATTCCAGGACTCCGTAGAAGCAAAGGAAATCCGCAATGGCTCAAATACTACCTATCCGCTTCCAGGAGCACCTGCAGGTATGAAAACAATATAGCTAAATACTAGTCGTGACCAGGGATCGTAACTATCGCACTAAACCCCTCCAGATCTTTCTCGGTTGCTTGACGTTTTTCGCTCACTGTTAGCTAGCTAAGCTAACTGTAACTGGCAGTCCACAACACCCGCAGCGAAATGAATGACCTCTCCTCCCCGGTTGCCATATTATGCTAGCTCGCTACCTAGCTAGCGAAAAGACTAGCACAGTGAACTAGTTAGTTAACGTTATAGGGTAGCCATCAAACGTAACGTTAACTAACTGCTTTCGTATGATAGCTACTATTTTGATTTTAATTGGCCTGCTAATTCAAACGTTTAATGTTAAGTAATGGCTAACTACTTAACTAGATGGATACATACTGTAGCTGACGTTTCTGCGTGACAGTCCATTTAATAACAGCCAGATAGATGCATGTAGCTATGTCTGCTAGTCTGTCACTGATCTTCGATTACCCTGACCCTTCATTCAAGGGAGGCAGGTGTTCAGTAAACTAAATTGGCTTAATCAATAGACAAATGTTCTATGGTTAAAACAACATAGCTAGCTACAGTACCTAGCTAGTTAGTATTATTTATTTTGATGTAACGTTAGTTAACTTTATGTATGGCCATAGGATGATAAAAGGGTAATGCGTTTGAGTCTTTACAAATGCTAGCTCATCACGAATCATCATCATCATAAAATCTCTGCAATGATCATGAACCTGTGCATGTGCCTTAAGGCCGGTTAGTCCACTGAACTACAGGACAGGAGCCAACACGTTTTCAGGTCTCAGACAAGATCACTAACACATCATGCAAGCGTAGTTCACCGAACCACCTCTGCTACACAGTCACACTAGCAACTGTCTTTTTTCCAATCAAAATCTTTCAAACAATGTAATTCCATTTCCTTTAGCTCCAGAACCTGGGGATCAACCCAGCTAACATTGGATTCAGCACCCTGACTATGGAGTCTGATAAGTTCATCTGTATAAGAGAGAAGGTGGGCGAGCAGGCACAGGTTGTCATCATTGATATGGCCGACCCCAACACTCCCATCCGTAGGCCCATCTCTGCAGATAGCGCCATCATGAACCCTGCTAGCAAAGTTATTGCCCTCAAAGGTAAGGACTTGCACTGAGCCTGACCTGTTTCCTTTGACTGAACTAATATGTACAGAGGCTGTGTTTTTAACAACTGAATTCACCCAAACTAAGCAGTTAACTACACCTTTATTGACTGCTGTAGACCACAATTTCCCTGTGTGTTGCTGTCCTAATATAAAAGGCCATTTGTGTACGTTTTTGTGTTTGTCAGCAAGTTATTGATCTAGACCTGTTACATTCTGCTTCGCCTGTTAATGACCATATACGGGCCTGTCCATTTCTATTTTGTTTTGTTGAAAAAATCAGCAGTAAAACTGCTTGTAATTTGCAATTTATAGTCTACATTTTAAACAATTGAACCCCTTTGTACACTGATAAAATTGTCATACTATCATGAATGCTTTGTCTATTTTTGCTTGTTTTTGCTCTTTTCGTTTCTTAATGCTTTCTTATATGTTTGCAGACGGTGAGTTGGATTTTATATATCATGAGTTGTGGAAGTTGTAATCATGTTTGCACTGTGTTGGAATGTCTGCCCAGTACTGTATATGTTCTGTTATGTTTACATAGGAAGGACTGTTAGAAAGTAGGATGGAAGCACAAGGGGGTTGATTTAAAGAACAGAAGGCTATAGGGTAAATGGCAAACAGAATAGGGAAATTCAAGGAAGTTCATCAAGACCTCTAGGGTTGAGGTAAAAACATCTGTGAGTGTGCCAATGTGCACCTTTTTATATTGCACACTGCTGTCTCAATGGCCAAGCGGTCAAGGCTATTGCACAGGCTGAGACGGTGAAACATTCCTCTGAAGCAAGATCCTTGTGATAACTTTCGATAATGTATTATTCATGCCCTTATTATGACTATATCCAGTTTGAGAGCTGGTCTTGGCCTATAGGCCGAAATAGTCATGGTTTGCATGATTTTTGTCAGTGCATCCTGGACTGCAGTGGAAGAACCTTGCATTCAGAGACCAAATTTATTGCAGATCCTGCATATTAGACTACAGGAAAATCAGATATGCAATGCAATATTGCAACATTTCAATACTAGGCTATAGTAGCCAAATTAATTTGTATATTTGTGTTGATTGATTTAATATTGATTTGACACCCCCACCCCTGTGTGTTTGTCTTTATGTAGCCTATAATGTATTCTATTTGAATAGTTCACTAGTCAGGCAAGATACACTACATGACCAAAAGTATGTGGACACCTGCTTGTCGAACATCTTATTCCAAAATAATAGGCATTAATATGGAATTGGTCCCCCCATTGCTGCTATAACAGCCTCCACTCTTCTGGGAAGGCTTTCCACTAGATGTTGGAACATTGCTACGGGGACTTGCTTCCATTCAGCCACAAGAGCATTAGTGAGGTCGGGCACTGATGTTGGGTGATTAAGCCTGGCTTGCAGTCTGCGTTCCAATTCATCCCAATGGGGTTGAGGTCAGGGCTCTTTGCAGGCCAGTCAAGTTCTTCCACATCGATCTCGACAAGCCATTTCTGTATGGACCTCGCTTTGTGCACAGGGGCATTGTCATGCAGAAACAGGAAAGGGCCTTCCCCAAACTGTTGTCACAAAGTTGGAAGCACAGAATTGTCTAAAATGTCATTGCATGCTGTAGCGTTAAGATTTCCCTTCACTGGAACTAAGGGGCCTAGCCCGAACCATGAAAAACAGCCCCAGACCATTATTCCTCCTCCACCAAACTTTACAGTTGGCAGTATGCATTGGGGCAGATTCGTCTGTCGGACTGCCAGATGGTAAAGCGTGATTCATCACTCCAGATAACCCGTTTCCACTGCTCCAGAGTCCAATGACGGCGAGCTTTACACCACTCCAGCCGACGCTTGGCATTGCGCATGGTGATCTTAGGCTTGTGTGCGGCTGCTCAGCCATGGAAACACAGAGGCAGCTTGGAGCTCGGTAGTGAGGGTTGCAACCGAGGACAGATTATTTTTACGCGCTACGCGTTTCAGCACTTGGCGGTCCCGTTCTATGAGCTTATGTGGCTTACCACTTCGCGGCTGAGACGTTTTTGCTCCTAGACGTTTCCACTTCACAACAACAGCACTTATAGTTGACCAGGGCAGCTCTAGCTGGGCAGAAATGTGACGATCTGACTTGTTGGAAAGGTGGCATCCTATGACAGTGCCGCGTTGAAAGTCACTGAGCTCTTCAGTAAGGCCATTCTACTGCCAATGTTTGTCTATGGAGATTCCATGGCTGTATGCTCGATTTTATACACCTGTCAGCAACAGGTGTGGCTGAAATAGCCGAATCCTCTAATTGAAGGGGTGTCCACATATCTTTTGTATGTATATATA